TTTTTATTTGTTGTCTATCTTCTTTGTTTAATTGTTGCATTTTATGATTATCAAGAATAATATTGCAACAATGAATAATAAGGTTATCATTTTAATTATTCTATTTCTCTTATTGTTATTGGTGTGTTGTTGTTCTTATTCTTACAATATTAGACACATGTGATAGTAAAAAAATATTTTATTGTTGTAATATTGGTTAACTGTTACTAATTTTTTTATTATCAATTTAATTTATAACTTTTATATTATGTACAGACAATATGGAATGTCCTCCCATCTATTTACATCATAGTATGCGTTTGGCAGTAACAAACATAGTAGATAAATTTGAAAATGATTCTTTTCAAGATGGAACTCCAATCTCAAAGTTTGGGTTTGAAAAAATTAGATTAGGTCATATGCTGCAAAATGTAGGAAAAAACATAAGTGAAGATTATATTATGCAAAAAATAGCAAAGACCCTTCCCACCACCTGGGATTCTGCAAAGAAAATTTTTTTTAATAACGACTGACCAACCTGTGCGGTACGATTTATACAATTATTAGCGGAAGCGAAGTGCAAGATCCATCCACTTTGGATAGAGTTTGAGACAGAGAAAATGGATCCACAATCAGATGTCATAAACCATATACAAAAGAAAGAATCATTATTTAGAGAACTGAGACAAAAAAGTTTTGGTCTGAATAATCCAATAATGTTGTACACTTTTGTTAACAAGCTTCCATCTTCGTGGCCGATTGACTTCATTCATATGAAATTTGAGAATGACTTCCTAGATATGATAGAATTGGAGGATCTGTTAGAGGAAATCGAAAATGATTTAATCTATTTACGAGCATTAGAAGACTGGGAGGCTCAACAGGTGAACACTGAACATTAGAACTTATGAAGCAATACTTTTCAGGTAACTATGTTTTTTCAATCTTTTTATTATTTGAATGTGGATGAATTGAAAAAAATATTTGTATATTTTTATAGAATGAAAAAATATCTAAATATATTATGTTTTATAAATACAGGTTGTATTCATTATTTTGGAAGCTGGTGGAATCTCAAATGACAAAACTTATTCTTTTGACAGCATTTGTGAACTTATTTTTATTATGTAGATGGTTGCATTTGTGGACAATTTTTTGTTTGAGATATTTATTATATGGGTGAATTGAGTTTATAATTACGTTTTGTTATTGAATTGGATTAAGGTAATGGTGACAAATACAAATAAAAAATTATTGATTTCATTTATTACTTAAAGATTGTAAATTTGATTTGGTTCTATTAGTATTTTTTTTCACTGATGTATTGTATATATGTTGTTGCTTTAGAGAATTTTTTGTTTATTTTTTACAAGTAACACAGTGTCTTCAGGCACTGACAATTACTAGTATATATATATATATATATATATATATACCTAGATAAAAAGAACTTTTTTTTCCAGAAGCCTGTGCCCACCCTGGACCATGCATAGCTCCGTCCATGAGCTCAAGTCACAGTGTTTTCCCGCTAAATTCGAGAGTAGTCAGTACAAGTCTAAACACTTTATATCTAAAAAAAGAAAGATTTATGACACCAATTTTTTTTTTGACCTCTTTTTTGGACTTCAATTTCTAACTAGAATGAGAGTAATCCTCTTTTCTATAATATTGTCAATTGGACAGAATGTGTGTGTGATCTATAATTTTTTTTTTAATGTTTTTTTTCTTGTTGTTTACCTGATATTGTTGTCCACCTTTGATTTGGTATTTGCCTTATTAATAGAGATGTAATATTATTTGGATTTAATCTAGGAATATGAAGGTTAATTTATGGTATTTATGAGAGATAAATTATTCATAATCTGATCCTAAGGGATTGCCAAAATACAAAATATTGATTTACTAGTAAAATATTGATTTACAAATTATTTTCTAAATTGCCATTGCCATCATAATTTTATAGGTCAGTTGTTAAGTATCTAAATGACAATCTAGTTTTCATTCCCACTCCTAAGTTTATTTTATTTTCACGTTTATTTCATCCCACGTGAGAAGCATTACTAGATTCTAAATACAACAATATTGTTCTTTGTTTGAAAAATAAGAAAATGATGATAACTACAAGTATTGCTTGCCCCCCATCTTATCGTAGTAAATGAATCCTAATTTTATTTAAAAGCTCCAAATCATAACAACTTAAAGCAATCGACTTCCGAAGGTTGTTTTGAATCATAAATCGTTGACTTTGTTCTCAGTTTTATAAATATTATTATGATATGGATTAGTACTACACATAAATATAAATAGTGACACATACTACCAAATAGTGTTGCAAAGACATTGGCACATGAGTAGAAAATGGATGACCACACACTCATGAATTATTGCACTCCTACTGATAATACAATAGAATTATGTATTTTTTTCCGTAAATATGTCTTCCACTTCTGAATAAAGAAGACACACCGAATGAAATATATATTTCTTCATCTCTCTTTTCTAATACTAGAAATGTACGACGTACGTTACACGTAATTAAATTTAAATAATATTTTGTTTTTAGAAATTGATAAATATGTGTTATTAAATTAAATAATAAATTAGGTGTAGAATAATTAATCGGTATTTTATTTATTAATTTATTCTATAAGTTTTTGAGTACTTAATCTGTCATTTATTTAGGTATCTCTCCAACCCTTTTAATTATTTGCACATTTAATTATATTATAGAATTATTAATTTTTATTTTATTAAATAAATTGATTAGATCACTTATAATATTATTATATTATTGCATAACAAAGAATAAAATATAATATATATTTGACCATAAAATTTAACTTAGTAAATATATATGTATAATAATTTAATATATACAGGACTTTACTTCTTTATATATACATATATAGATAATTGTACGTAACTATACTATTAATAAATAAGTTCAAAAAAATTTAGAAGTCTTTATAAAAGATTCTAAAATAAGCTAAAAGTCGAATAAGTGTAAAAAATAAAAATTAGGTTAAAATATATAGGTGAGTATAATTAATTTTATTATAATAATTAGAAATCAAATAGAAAATCAATTTTTTTAAATATAAGTAGTATAATATAGATTGTTTCTATCTCTTAATTTATTGATATAATTTGTTGATATAATTTATTGTGATATTTGGATTAATGGTGGACCTGATCAAATATTGAAACTTGGTGTTGATCCAATGATTTCAATGAATCCACATCATTATTTCAATAAATTAGGTCAAATTTTTAGGTCCAAATAGCATTTTCTTTTTTATATTGTTGCCTCTATTATAATTTTTATATAACACCCTCAACTATGTGATTAATTTTATGAACAATGCTATTAGGACATAATTTAGAGACATAATGATTGTGGCTATTCAATTATCAGTGACTCACAACACACAGTGCATTGAGTCTTCAAATTATATCCCTAAATTATGTTATAATAATATTAGTGCAATTATTAACGTACGTTATAAAGTTGATAAAAACTATTTCTTTTTGTTCCTCGAACTATGTAATATTTTTTATTTTTTTCCGACACGCTAATAATTTTCGTCCAAAAAAATAACAGACGCTTGTGTTTTGGACGGTGTGAAATAATTCAAGCAATTGAGGGATAATGTGAAAAAATTTATAGTGTAAAATAATTTATCGTAATCCACAACTGATTCAACAATATTAATGAATTAGTTTTTGAGATTGGGTTTATTTCTCATTATCATGTAACGCATATTTTTCATTATTATTTTTTTTAAAATGAGTATAAGGACTTTATGAGAGAATTCCCAAGCTAATTTGCTCTACATCTACAATCCATGGATTTGTGGGCAAAGCTAAATTTTTGGGGAAATTTTTCTTTTGGATTTGGGTGAGTAATGTTTGAAAGTATTTGCTGAGAAAATTGTATATTCGTCGGTATAAAGTTCTTTTACCTGCAACTTGAAGCATCCTTTTTCCCACAAAATAGTAGTTCTGCCTACAAGACACCTACTCTCAATGTCTTGTTGCCTACCCACTATTCAATACCAGCTAGCCAGCAACAAGAAACACCCTACTACGTTGAATTAGCTAACTTTCATATAGATCGCTTATTTTTGGCGCGATAATTAGTTAGTTCACCTTATGCAATTTTGTTAGTTAGCTGACCGTATGGAATTTTGTTAGGTGGCACCAAATTCATATAATAAGTTAGTTGACCTTATGGGAGTTTGTTACTTGGCACTAAATTCAATATTTCATCTATACTCCGGATGATATGAGATTTGGTGGAGTTAGAAGAAAGAAATATATTTTGGTTTTGTGCTTTTGTTTCCTATTTTATTGGTGATTTAGTTGAAAAAAAAAATTCAAGACTTTTTTTATGATAAATTTTTTTGACGGATTCAAATCATTATAAGTTTATGCAGGAAGACTCAACCCTAATTTTTATTATTTCAAGAGAGTTTGATTTTTTAATTTTATTGGATAAAGACACAATGGTTGCAACATAATCTTGACGGGAGAAAAAAATAAACATGCGGAAAGATTGACAAAACAGTATCACAACTTCATAGATGGGCTGATTTGGCCGCAACATATAAATTGAAAAATCTCGGAACAAAATATTTTTGAATTAATTACAACATGACTGATATTTTGCACCATGACATGAAAACGCGGACCCATTCCCACCGTCAATTGAATTAAAGAAACAATATTTCGTTGCCAAGACAACACCAGAAGATGCCAGTTTGGTGCAGATCAGTGTCAGGATAAAAAAATTAGACCAGCTGTCTAAAAAGGGAAAGAATTTTCTGGATAAATCAAACTTTGACCCCTCAATTATGGTCTTGTCCGTTATAGTTCCTTCACTTATCTTATTTTTTGCTATGGTACCTTAAATCATAGTTATTAATTTCCCACTACCCAAAGATTAACGCCCACCAAAATTTTAATAGAAACTTGTCCATGCATGTGGTTGCTTCCCTCTCTCTTGCATGTACCACTTGCAGGTCTCCAGAGTCTTTGATGATATTAAATCCGAATCAGGTCACTTTTTGGTGCCTGACCCAATTGAACTTACTATAGCAGCGATTACGGGCTGTCTCAAGACAAACCCATCTGGTCCAAGAGATTTGCGGGATGACATCAGAGAGGGTGAAGAAGCATCATATGGGTTTGTGGTTAACACTTTCCAGGAGTTAGAGACATAGTATATCAAAGAATATGCCAAGGCAACAGGTAAAAAAGTATGGAGTATTGGTCCTGTTTCACTCTGCAACAAAGATAATATGGATATGGCCACAAGAGGTAACAAGTCTGCTATCAATGAAAACCATAGCTTGAATTGGCTCGACTCATTCGAGCCAAGGTCTGTACTCTATGCCTGTCTAGGAAGCCTATCGCGCCTACCAACTTTGCAGATGATAGAGCTCGGTTTGGGTCTAGAGGCATCAAACAAACCCTTCATATGGGTTCTCAGGCATAAACCGAATGATTTCGAGAAGTGGATTGTGGAAGAAAAATACGAGGAAAGGATCAAAGGGAGAGGACTTTTGATCCATGGGTGGGCACCACAGCCACTGATATTGTCTCACCCTGCAATTGGGGGGTTTTTAACTCATTGCGGGTGGAACTCTATTCTAGAAGGGGTGTCTGCTGGTGTGCCAATGATAACGTGGCCAATGTTTTCGGAACAGTTTTTGAATGAAAAATTGATTGTTCAAGTACTGGGGATTGGAGTGAGGGTTGGTGTAGAGGTTGAAGTTAATTTTGGGCAGGAAGAAGAGATTGGAGTGTTGGTTGGGAAGAATGTAGTTAAGATGTGCGTTGATGAGTTGATGGGTGAAGAAGAGGAAGCTGAAGAGAGAAGGAAACGAGCTAGAGAGCTGGGAAGAATGGCAAAGATGGCAGTAGAAGAAGGAGGCTCTTCTCACACCAAAGTTTGATGGGCACTATGAGCATTGGGCCATGCTCATGAAAAATTTTCTTCGATTGAAAGAGTATTGGGGACTGGTGGACGACGGTGTTCCTGAAGTCACAGATGAAGCTATTCTCACTAATGCACAAAAGAAGCAGAGTGCCGAGCAGCAGCTCAAGGATTTGAAGGCTAAGAACTACTAATTTCAAGCATTGGATCGTTCCATTTTGGAAACTATTCTCAACAAGTACACGACATAGAACATTTGGGATTCCATAAAGATCAAATATCAAGGGACGACATGAGTCAAGGGGGCTCAGGGGGCTCAATTGCAAGCGCTTTGAAAGGAATATGAAGTTCTTCGTATGAAGGACGGTGAAACTATGACTGACCTGTTTACTAGAACCCTCACTATTGTCAACAAAATGAAAGCCAATGGAGAACAAAAGATTGATGGTGATGTTTTCAATAAAATCTTGCGATCCATGACACCTAAATTCAACTATGTTGTCTAATTCGCTGAAGAATCCAACTATACAGACACTTTGACAATTGATGAACTCCAAAGTAGATTGCTTCATCATGAGCAACGTATGAGCTCTCTTGTTAAAGAAGAGCATGCTTTGATAGTCACACAAGAAGAATCTAGGGGACGAGGACATGGGAGTTTTCAAGTACGAGGTCGAGGACGTGGCGACCTTGGCAAACCAAGCTTCAATCGTAATACAATATAATGTTACAATTGTCACAAACTTGGACATTGTCAATGGGAATGTCCAACAAAGGAGAAGGAGGCCCACATCATGCCCAGACTCAAGAAGAACTGTTACTGATGGCATAGGTTGATAATAGCACAACAAGTCATGATGATCAATGGTTCCTTGAATCAGGATATAGCAATCATATGTGCGGTAACAAATTTTCTTTCTCTAACCTTGATGAAAGTTATCGTGATTTAGTTAAACTAGGGAACAATACTTCTATGGCTGTGTTGGGCAAGGGTAATATCAGATTGTAGGTAAATGGCAAAGCACACATCATCACAGATGTCTTCTTTGTGCCCGAGCTGAGGAATAATCTACCGAGTATAGGGCAGCTGCAGGCCAAAGACTTGACCATTATGTTTCAACATCACAAATGCAAGATATTTCATCCTAAATGTGGTCTACTTATGGAAATAGAGATGGCTGCCAACCGAGTGTTCATTCTCCATGCCATAGCCCAACCTATGACTTCCACGTGCTATAATACTGTTTTAGAAGATAAAGGATATCTATGGCATTTTTGCTATGGACATTTGAGTTCCAAGGGACTACAACCTCTTCTAAAGAAACAAATGGTAACTAGTCTGTCTCAATTGAAGTCTCCTACCAAGATCTGTAAGGACGGTTTGGTTGGAAAGCAACATAGAGATCCATTTCCTTCCTATAGTACCTGGTGAGCATAGCAAATCCTGCAGTTGATACAAGATGATATCTGTGGGCTAATCAAACCAGAATCCAACAGTGGAAAAAGGTACATACTCACTCTAACTGATGACTTCAATCGCAAAACGTTGGTTTATTTTTTGAGCATGAAATCAGAAGCTTTTAATGTCTTCAAAAGCTTTAAAATCTATGTTGAAAAGGAGGCCAATCAGGTTATCAAAGGATTACGTACTGATCGGGGCCGGGAGTTCACTTTACAAGAGTTCATTAGCTATTGTGCTGATCATGGTATAAAATGCCAACTGACTGCTGCATATTCCCCACAACAAAATAGAGTTGCAGGACGTAAGAATCAAATAATAATGAATCTTGTTCAAAGCATGTTATCAAATAGGCAGATTCCTCGCACTTTTTGGCCTAAAGCGGTCAATTGGATTGTCCATATTTTGAACCGAAATCCTACTCTTTTCGTGAAGAATAAAACTCCTAAAGGAGCTTGGAGTGGCATTCAACCCTCAGTTGAGTATTTTCGTGTTTTTGGTTGTATTGCTAATGTTCATGTCCATGATGCTAGGCGAACTAAGCTTGATGACAAGAGCTTTCCTTGTGTTCAACTTGGGGTCAGTGAAGTTTCTAAAGCTTACAGATTATATGATTCTATATCCAAACAGATCATTATTAGCAGGGATGTCATCTTTGAAGAGGACAAGGCCTGAAATTCGCAGAAGACCACTAAACTAGCAGTGATGTGTGACTTGGAGTGTGATGACACGACAGAGGACGACACTGTTAGGCCTACAGGTGCTAAAACAATCACTACTACCACTATAGTAGAACCATAATTATCTACTCCTAATGGCACCCCAAATGATACAGTAGGCGCACAATTTCCAAGTCTAGTCGAATCTTCAGCACCCCACAGTTCCTGAAATCGGCAACACTTACCTGGATGGATGATTATGTGACAGGAGAAGGACTATCCGAGGATGAACATGGAGATCACTTGGCTCATTTGGCTTTGCACACATCTGATGATGATCCAACTCGCTTTGATGATGTCGTTAACAGTGAGAAGTAGAGGCAAGCAATGGACACAGAGATTGACTCCATCAAAAAGAATGATACGTGGGATTTGGTAGACTTGCCCAAAGGTGTAAATATAGTTGGCCTAAAGTGGATTTACAAGAACAAATACAATGAAATAGGAGCCATTGAGAAATACAAAGCATGCCTTGTTGCCAAAGGCTTTACTGAGCAATATGGGGTTGACTACAACAAAGTATTTGCACCTGTAGCATGACTGGAGACGATTCGTTTGGTGTTGGCACTAGCAGCACATCACGGTTGGCCACTCTACTAACTTGACATCAAATCAGGATTTTTGTATAGGGAGTTAGCTAAAGAAGTTTTTGTAGAGCAGCCATGTGGGTATGTCAAAAAGGGACATGAAGAGAAGGTGTACCGACTAAAGAGAGCACTTTACGGGCTCAAACAGGCCCCACGAGCGTGGTATAGTCGGATCAAAGCTTATTTCTTGAAGATGGGCTTTGAAAAGTGTGAATTTGAACACACTTTGTTCATCAAAGCTGAACAAGGAGGCAAGATCCTAATTGTCAACATGTACGTGGATGATCTTATCTACACAGGCAGTAATCCTTCACTGTTCACTACATTTATAATTTCCATGAAGCAAGAATTTGATATGACAGACCTAGGCAAGATGAGGTACTTTCTTCGTCTTAAAATTTTACAATTGCCTAATGGTGTTTTCATTAATCAAAAGAAGTATGCTTTGGAGGTGCTAAAACGTTTTGGAATGGACCATAGCAACTCTATTCACAACCCTATAGTACTAGGATTCAAGGTTACAAAAGAAGGTGGCACCGAAGGAAGGTGGACAAGTCTTACTTTATACAGATTGTACCTCACATCTACCACTCGGCCTGATATGACTTTTGTTACAAATCTCATTAGTTGATTTATGGAAAATCCTACTGAGGTACATATACAGGTAGCTAAAAGGGTGTTGCGCTACTTGAAGGGTACTGTTGTTTTTTGGATTCTTTACAAGAAGGGAGGGGAAAATGAGCTTGTAGCTTATACAAACAGTGACTATGCAGGTAATATAGACGATCGTACAAGCACCTCTGAATATGTTTTTATGCTTAACTCAAGTGTGGTCTCGTGGTGTTCAAAGAAGCAGCTGTTGGTCATCTTATCTACCACAGAAGCTGAGTTTATTGCAGCTGCCTCATGTGCATGTCAGGTAATTTGGTTGTAGCATGTATTAGCTAAGTTAAGTCAGATTTTGAATACCAAGTGCATTGCTATTAACTGCGATAGCAGCTCTACCATTAAACTCAGCAAAAATCCAGTTATGCATGGGCGTAGTAAACACATTGATGTGCGTTTTCATTTCCTTCATGATTTATATAAGGATGGGACTATCAAGTTAGTTTATTGTGGCACTCAAGAGCAATTAGCTGATGTTATGACTAAACCTTTGAAGTTGGGTGTGTTCATGAAACAGTGAGAACTTTTGGGTGTTTGTTTCGAAAGTCAAGTAAACTGATAGCCTGTAGCTTCAGTTTAAGAGAGGGTGTTTGTGATTTGAGTTAGTTTGTTACTTGAGTTAGTTTGTTACTTGCTATCAATAAAGACTTATTCCATACGTCTGCATGTTTACCATTTCCTTTCAGTTAGGATTCCACGATATTAGGAATTCTTGTTAGATGTGGAATGTTTTTTCTCAAATTCTGTTTCTTATGAGACTATTTAATAGCCATGTTTATCTAATAATAAATCAGTGGTTTTTCCCTCAATTATTTTTCTTTCTTATTTTTTATTGACATGAAGTCTATCACAGAGAATGGTACCAAGTAAATTAGTAGAGTCTGAGGTTAACACAAAATAAGAATGAGTTTACAATTTAATTAGACGAAGTTACTACAAAGTGGAATTGTAACTTGATCATGTGGAGTTGTAATTGATCTTTTTGAATTGTAACTTAATCTGGAATAAGTTATAATTGACCCTTCTTTCCTTGTAAGCTAATATCCGGAATATGGTGAAGTTCCATTACATAGTATGCGCGGTGATTTTTACACAATGAAAAAAAAGACAGCTCTCTCCCTTGGTGAACTCGTGTTTACCTTGAAAGTCGATGGTCCTATGGCAAAAGGAGGTCAAAGGGGGTCTAAGGAATGGTGATGAATTGCTTTCGAGGCGGTCTAATCGATTCCGGTGAGCCAAAGGCTACTCTTTGCACACAAAAGAAAGGTTAAAAGGGCACCAAAGTATTTTTCAGCGTATCCTTTCTAATGGTCAAGTTAGTTCGTGAGAGAGGGTAAGGAAAATCATAGTGTATGTTATGTGGAGTGAATTTGCATACCTTCATCTTCAGATTTTTGCAACTATTTATACCTCCATGGATTCATCATTACTAACAGACAAGTCATATCAAAAGGAGATCCCCCATTGGCCCATTTGGGAGGCAGTAAGCAGCGTAGTCATTGGACAGTGCACCTCCTGTTTTTCGTGGGGGAGACCCTGTTATTAATTGTTCAGGCTCTAGAGCATTTAAAGATCTTTCTTTTATGTAGAGGCATTCAATGCTCGAGTTCCAAAGTATTTAATGTTCCTTCTTCTCGGTCTCCCAAGCCATCATGGACGTCTCATCCTTCTAAGGGTCCATTAAATACTTCTCTAGGATGACTGCATATCAGCAGGGGTATTGTTGTCATTTTACTCCCAATATGACACATCATGTCACGTGTCTAACTTCCCCTAGTTGTTGGTCTTGTTCATTCTGCCATTCTAACTTTATGGGGAAGGCAAGCCAATGATTCATTGACAAACTCTGAGATTGATGGGCTGTAACCATCAGTAATTCATCCTAGAGGCAAGGTGACGTGTCCAAAAAGGCCTCGGGCTCTAATCACGTAGGTGGACACATGTCAAAATCCCAAGGCTCTAAGGAACTGGAAGTGTCCTCGGTGCCAGGGGCACTTCTCATCACCAAAGAGCTCTAAGTGTCCTCAGCACTAAGGATACGTGTTGTCGCTAGAGAGTCAAAGTGTCCTCAGTGTCTATGACACATGTCATTATTAGAGAACTAAAGGTGTCCTCGGTACTGAGGACACGTGTCTTGACCAAGGTAAGGGGTGTCCTTGGTGCCGAGGACACGTGTCAGATCCTTATTCATTCTCTGAAAATGCCCATCAACTGCCCCCCAACCCTTCATCTTTTTACGACATGGGAGGAGTGTTGTCAGAAGATGAAAGGGCTCAACTAACTCATCAGTGTGTAGCCGTAATCCCGCACTCAGAGGTCGTGCCCATTGAATGTGCCCCTCCTTGTGTCTCGTGCACAATGATGGGAACAGGCTCTATATAAACAAAGCCTTGTCTTCACCTTCATACTTTCGACTACTCAACTTTTCTCAGAAGTTTTTTTGCTGGAGAACCATCGGAATCCCCATTTGCTCATGCCTGATCACTCTGACCAGTGACCATCTTCTCTAGAATTTGCCTAAGAAAAGCTTATTCTATTTTTTTGGTGAGTAACTCATTCCATTCTTTCCTCCTCCTTGCCACCTTCTTTTCTTTTTCTGGTCGCCATCCTCCTTTTCTTTTGATTCATTTCGGCATCGTCACCCGTTCCGCCAAGTCACTATGCCTTGTGTGTCCTTTAGGATTCCCTATACAAAAACCCTTCTACTTTTCCTATAAAAAGAACAATGATGAGGCATCGTCGCCCTGTCGCTGAGGTCCAAGAGACTGGAACCTCTAGGTCGAGGAAGTACACAGTCAAGGGTCGCCAGTAGATTTCCAACTTCAAAACCCACTACGACATTCCTCATAGCTTCGATGTGGATGAGTTCAATCCAGCACGTCATCATCTCAACGTCGGTGCTAAGGATGCCATGCCTTTCTAAACCAAGGCTATCATGGAGGACGAGATTAGATTGCCCCTCCATCTACTCCTCCTCCAATTCCTATCCCAGCTCCATCTCTTCCTAGGACAGAGATGGCTTAACAGTTTTAGAATAATCATGGGTGTGGTTACCCTCAATAGACACCTTGGGGTCAACCTTGCCCTTGAGGACATCCTCTTCTGTTACTTATTGCTGAGGGTAATGCCCCAACAACATTTCTATCTAAAAGTCAGAGACTCTTCCATGTACCTTGTAACACACCTCCCAAACTCTGACAAGGGGTACAAGGACGATCTATTGGTCTTCGATGGTGCCTGGGAGAGAGGGCTCGGCCTCGAGTACAACGACTTGTGGTGCCCCAAGGAGTGGCGAACGACAAATACGTCGGCTTCTCCCTCTTCTTAGCTTCCTTAGTATGTAATGAAATTGTGCTAAGTTCTAATATTCTTATTATGTGCAATAGTTCCAACGCCGAAGCTGTTCCCCCTCCTTGGCCCTTGGTTAATTTTGATGACATCATCATCGTTTAGGGGTACGCTGACAATCTTTTTGGCTGAGGGGCTCACGTACTTCTAGACTACAACCTGGGGTACAAGAAGTACTCCTAGACTCCACAACCCTTTGATCCTTCAAGGTGGTCAAAAATCTTCCAGCAAAATTTGGAGGAAGACCCTGACAAGGCCACTAAAGTCGAGCTAGTAGCCGCTGCCGAAGGAGAGAACGCCGACGGGGCTGTGGAAATAAGGGATCCCACCACTACTATTCACGCATGAAACAAGCACATCTGGGATAAAGACTTGGCTAGATTTCAAAGTTTTTCAAAATCTGGATGAGGAAAACGCGCTTGAAATCACCATGTCTAACCATCTTCGCATCAACCTAGATTACATCAAGGAATGAGCCGCCCTCAGAGTTGCAAGGGGCCGAGGGTCCAGCTCCAACGAGCCTCCACCAAGAAGGACTTCTATTCCCCCTCCACCTCCTAAAACCAACATTGCACCTCCAAGGTCCATATGCCGTGGCTGAGGCCACCCCAGAGACTCTCAATTTGAAGAGGAGAGGAGGGTCAAACAAAGGCATAACAGCAATGGCCGTGGAAGGAAACCCCCATCCCTCCGACATCAATGCCTTCATCGTCAACACCAAAAACAACATCAGCAGCAACAATTCTAACTCCTCCACTGGTGCCGACCACTCAAGTAGAGGAATGGAGCCCTCAGGCTCGAGATCGTGATAGTAGGTTGATTCGAGTCTCTGATTCCATCATAAATTCTCCTCACGTGGCCTACGATGTAAATGAGATCCTCCTATTCGGTGCCGACATGGAAGAGCACTGGGGGCAGGCGACCAACAATCTTTTCCGTTCAATCATCCAAAGTTCGTTGGTGGTAAGGCTATTAAGTAGTAGTTCTCTTTTCTTATTTTTCCTTCTTTTTGCATCGGCGTGACTTCTTATTTTTCCTTTTAACAGACTGCCCAACAAGTCTCACTTGCAGAGGGAGAGGCTCTAGCAATCTTAGAGGCTGAAGGCCGAAATAGAGGGAGCTCTTGCCACAACCAATGAAGAAGTGGCGGCCCAGGACAAGACCTTGTCCTGCCAGGCAGCTCAAATTTTCAAGTTCTTGATGAAGGCTGAGACAGCTAAGGGAAATGTTGAGACGACAAGTGCTACCCTTGTCGATGCCGAGAAGAAAATCACAGAGTCGACCAAATAGCTCTCGGCATCTGAGGCTAAGCTGGCGGAGTCGAAACAGACCATTTCGGCTCTTACTCAAGAGCTAGACAAAGTAAAGGCTGCACTGGAGGTTGCCATCAAAACGCAGGCAGATATAGTGGCCGAGTGTGTCGATGACATCTTGGTAGCCTTCGAGGACTAGAAAAAAGGAAATTTTCAAGATGTGATGGGATGGGGGTCTCAAGGCTATCGGTGTCCCAGCTGAGTCTCCCTTGTTCTTAAAGCATATATACGTACCTTTGAAGGAGCTAGTACAAGCGTCAGGCTTGGCATCACCTATTGAAACTGCAACTTTGGTCCCAGCCAATACTGCCCAAGTCTAGGGCCCTGCTTTAGCTCCAGAGCTGACATCGGTCCCTTCTCCTGCCCCTTGCTACTCTAGAGCCAACATCGGTCCTTGTTGCTGCTGCCCCTGCTGCACCGCCTCTTCAGGTTGACACTTTAGCTGTCGACTCCTTCTCCGCTAGCATAGAAGAGCTATTCAGAGACGTCGGTAGTGACATCAGCGGCAATGTGAATGGGCCTCCACTAGCACCGTAGGCTTAGGCTTTTCTTACTCTTGTAATTGTCCTTTCCTTTTCTTTGCAATCTTTGTAGCTTAAGGGGGAGCAAAACCCTCTCTTTTGAATGAAACATGACTCTTCCATTTGAGTTGATCTTTCTCTCTTTTTTTTTTTTGTTCCTCGAATGAAAGAAAGTCTTTTGCATGTTTGCATTCTTCTTCTCCTTTTATTGGTACTCTTGGCTAAGTGTAGTTCCCATGGCATCAGGACAGAAAAACATATCATTTGGACAACCCATTTCCAGGTTCCATTTACTTAGCCAGGCATGTATTTGGGAATCTCAAACAAGATGAACTTTCAATGATTCCATTTGATTTGTAAAATGTTGCACGAAAATGTATCCCCATCACAAGTGATGTATTTGATGAGAGGTATTTTGTCAAGACCTTTAGGAGTTTTCCCCGGGAGATCTGCTCTAGTCTTGGAGACACCTACCTTGGGCCTTCTTTGGGTCATCCCCCATCCAGAAGGTCATGCTCTTTTATTCATTGAGAGGCGAGACCTAGGACTCTGCCCCAGGGGCCATGGCCCGTCTAGGAGGCCATTATCCTGTATTTATTCAGAGGTGAGTCCTAAGACCTCGCCCCAGGGGCCATGCCTCGTCCAGGAGTCTATGCCCCTGTATTTATTTGGAGGCGAGTCCCAAGACCTCGCCCCCGGGGCCATGCCCCTTCCAGGACAACATTTTTAGCATAAAAATGAATTTTTATTTCTCAAAAATAATACTTCTTTAGGTTCATTGCATTCCAAGGCCGAATTACAACATTTCCCTCCATGTTAACTAGTCTATACGACCTAGAGCCTCCAATTGACGCAAAATAGTCCTTCCCAATTAGGTCTCATCTTTCAATCAGCCAGGTTTTGGGTGTTTTCGACCACCTTTCTGAGCACCAAGTCGCCCACTTGGAATCCTCGAGGCTTGACCCTTTTTGTTGTAAAGTTTGGATACCTCTTTTTGATACTTTGCTAGTCTTAGGGCAACCATCTCCCTTCTCTCCTCCGCGAGGTCCATGTCCAGGCTGAGCTGATGACCATTGTCTCTAGTGTCAAAGGCTTGCATTCTTATGGTAGGGAGACCTACTTCTAGAGGAATTACCGCATGTACTCCGTACGTGAGGACGTAAGGTTTCTTGCCCGTTGAGATTCGCGAAGTTGTCTTGTAAGCCCATAGGACGTTCAAAAGCTCCTCTACCTACCTCCTTTTAGCTTTTTCCAACCTCTTTTTGATTCTGTTGATGATGGTCTTCTTTGAAGATTTCGCCTATCCATTAGCCAGAGGATACAAGGGCGTTGAGTATTAGTTTCAGATTCCAAGATGCTCACAAAAGGACTTGAAGGGTCCTCTATTGAACTAGGTTCCATTGTCTGACACAAGTGTGCGGGGGACTCCAAATCTTGTTACTATGTTTCTCCACACGAACTTCTTGGTGTCCACGTGCCTGATATGAGTTATGGTTCCACCTCGACCCACTTAGTGAAATAATCAGTCTCAACTATCAAGAACTTTTTGTCTCTAGGCGCCATTTGGAGGGGTCCAACCAAGTCAAGCCCCAATTGGGCAAATGGCCAAGGACTAGTTAGTGGGTGCAGGTTTCCTATCGGCTGCCTAACGGAGGGAACGAACATTTGACATTGATCGCATTTCTGCACATAAGCTTGTGCATCCCTTTGCACCCGTGGCCACCAATATCCTTGTGATATGATACAGTGAGCCATCGACCATCCACTTGAGTGTTCCCCACATATTCCTTCGTGCACTTCATACAAGAGGGCTCAACTTTGTTTTCTCGGACACAAAACAAGTAAGGTCCAGAGAACGATTTATGATACAGTTTTTTATCCGGGGAGGCCTGGAATCTTGGAGCTCTTCACCTTTTCTTTCTGGCTTCCGTGGGGCATTCGGGGAGTTCCCTAGGGACAAGGAACTTGAGTACAGGATTAGTCCAATTAGGGGGCTCCTCCCCTTCCTGAACAACCTGCACTCTAAGGATCTCATCTATGCTGGAGTTGGGAAGGTATTCCACGGTGATCCTTTGTATCATGGTGGAATCCAGCGCTGAGGACAGACATGCCAAGGAGTGGGCGTTCTTATCTCGAGGAACTTGCTTGACTTCAACTTCCTTGAACTTGTGGAGTAAAACTATTGTTTCATGTTGGTAAGCTTTCATTCTAGAGTCTCTTGCCTCAAACTCTCTGTTAACCTAGTTGACCACCAACATCGAATTGCAGTGGACAGTCAACTTTGTGGCTCCCGTCGCACCAACAAGCTTAAGCTCGGAGATGAGGGCTTCATACTCCGCCTCATTGTTGGACGCCTTGAAGCCTAGCCGGACAGCTTGTTCTATGACCAACCCCTCCGAGGAGACTAATAGTACCCCAATTTCGGAACCCATACTGTTGGAGGACCCGTACACACAGAGCCTCCAAGAGGATCCTTGGTTGTCCGTCACTACAACAAAAGCTATTTTTTATGACGATTTTTTTTGTGACAATTTTAAATTTATCGCAAATTTCTATTTTGGCAATTTTTTGTGACGTTTTTTAAAAACATCGCGAAAAGGCAATTTTTTTTTGCGAGAGAAATGAAAGGAATTGACAATAAATTTAATTTAAAACTTTTAGGTAAATAAAAAATTTTAAAAATAATAATTTAATTAATTTTTTGAGACGTTTTTGTAAAAAAGCCGCCAATAAATTTTTAGGTAAATAGAATTTTTTTAAATAATAATTATATTAATTTTTTGCGACATGTTTCTAACAACGTCGCCAATAATTTTTTACGTAAATAAAAATTTTTTAAAAAAAAATTAAATTAATTTTTCTCAAAAACGTCGCTACTAACAGTTATTTGTAAATAAAAAATTTTAAAAATAATAATTAAATTATTTTTTGCAATGTATTTAAAAAATGTTGCCAATAAAGTTTTACGTAAATAAAATAATTAAAAAATAATAATTAAATTAATTTTTTGCAACGTTTTTATAAAAATGTCGCCAATAATTTTTTATGTAAATAAAAAATTTTAAAATTAATAATTAAATTATTTTTCTCGACGTTTTTAAAAATGTCACCAATAAATTTTTAAGTACATAAAAAATTTAAACCTCATCATTCTCCCGTCTACCCGCCCTCTCTCTACCCCCATCTCCCACGTATCTCTACCCCTCTCTGTGCTCCTCTGCCCCCATCTTTCTCACCCTCATCCCTGTTCTTCCACCCCCATCTCAGTTGAAGTAAACCATCGCCAACAATAATGACGACGATGTTTCCTAACCCTTAGCCGATGGGTGAAATCAAGCCCATGATTTCCAGCTAATTTTCTTTTGGTTATTACCAATTTTCCAAGAGAAGGCCAGTGCCACCACCACGACACCAGTGTCCCTCTAAGGTAGTTTTCTTTCTCCCTTCCCCACCCCTTATTTCTGTCATCCTTTTTGCGGACAAACCACCCCTATAGATGCCCTAATTAACGTCTCCCCTCTTCTTGATTCTCTCATTCCCGATAAAATTCCTGTAGCCTCTAATCCTGTGGAGGTAATATTTTGTTTCCTAGAGCTTTCGTCTAAGAGCTTACGAACAAGATCTCAATTGTAAGGTTTCGAATCGTTGCTGCAGGAAGAAGACGTGAAGAATTTCTATGAAATCTATCCAAAAATCGGTGAAATAGTCAAGGACGTGAGCAAAATTGCCAACCTCCAATCAAAGATTTGAGGCCTTAGCCTCGAGGTCCAACACCGTCTTTATCTCATTAGTAACAGAGATCCAAAGGTTTCCCTCTCTCTCTCTCTCTCAACTCAAAACCCTAATTTTCACTCTGCACTAACCTAACACCTCAATGCAATGATATCTCTCATCAGATGTTGATTAAAGGGCACCTTTTGAGGATTTATGTAGTGGGGAAGTATGATGTATGATCAGTAGAAAAGGGGAAATAGTAAGAATGAATATAAAAGAATCTGTATTTTAAGGTCTTGTGTGACCATTCAAAGAAAAAAGGATTGAAAAGAAAGAAAAAAAAACTGTGTTGCGAGGTGTTTATGTACATATGATTGAGACTTTGAATTCAAATGGATTTGCTGCTTTCAGTTTGCTAGGTCATTTCTGAGGTCTGCAATGACAAAAGAACTCTCCTAATGTTCTCAACGGTTAAATTTGGTTTAAGAGACTTTAAGCTGACAAGACTGGTGCTTTTCCTAGCTATTCATATGCCATTATTATGCTAATATAAAGTTGCCACAGGACTGGACGCTGAGGCAATTTGTCAAGGCTCAAAATCTGATATGTTCACGGATTAGATTATCAATAACATGACATGAAACCATTTTTGGCTGAACAACCAATACATCTCTATGAATTTTTTCCCCCCTCCTTGAAATTTCAGGTTAACTTACTGTTAAGCAGATGGATGAAAGACTTGGAAAAAATATTTTATGGGAATATTGTTGCTTATGATGCTACCATCGTTCCAGAAGTTAAACAAGAGGAGTTGCAAAATGTTATATGGTGGTAAGACATTCAATAGGACATTAGTCTAGGTACTGCTTCAAACACTCCTTTATGATAGTACTAGATAATTCTAATGAGGCATGCTTGTTTTGACCTTGAATAAATTGTTAGATGGGCTACACCTATTGTTTAGTTGATGTTGGTGTTACCGTTGAACCTTAACCCTTTTGTTAGCCAATGCCACCTAGATTAATGGATTAGTATTTGATCATTGGTTTGAATATTTAACAATTTAACAAGTTATAATACAGAAGCAGTATGAATACATGGAAGTTCAAGTATGTAGGCTCCTATCTAAATTTGATTATAGTATGAAATTTATGGAAGTTCATGTAAGAAGGCTCTTATTTAATTTGGTTAAAGGTTTGAAAGTTGAGAAAGTAGAAATTCGTGGTGTTTGTGAAACATAATGAAGTTTTGAGAACATATTGTGTTTGGCTTATGAGGCTTGCATTGTCACACATTTCTGCT